TCATCTTGTCCTCTGCCAGCCCTTTGTTTCAATGTTTGCAGGCATCAGGTCTTCTCCGCTGACTCCAGTGTTTGCATTGTGCCTGCAAAGTACTTCAGTTTCAACTTTATCCTTCTAGCAAGAACCAATTTTGAAAATTTTGTCCTGCCTCAGATGATTTGGCCTTCTGATCGTCCAAGGTGGTCTCAGCCATTTTCTCCAGCGTCACAGCTCCGTGCCTTCCTTCTCCCCTTGTCAGCTTTTCTGAGGCTCTGGCTTCCACAGCCAGGCTTTACAGCTTGGAAAATCTTGGCTCGGACAACAACTACTTTGGTTGCAGTCTGAGGCTTCTGCACTTTAGTATTTGTCCAGACTGGCCAAAGTCTTTCTCCCAAGTAAGAGACTTCTCCTTATTCCATTAGCCGCCCCAGGGAAGTTTTCACCCCAGGAAGACAAAATCTGCCACTTGTTCAACTTCCTCTCTGTCCATTTCCATCAAGTTGGCATTGCCTGTTGAGAGAAGCTCAGGGCTTTTTAAATACTGAGCTACAGGCCGGCTTTGGTACCCTATTTTTCATCCTTAAGGAGACAGCTGACTTCTCCCTCGCTTCCAGGCAGCCAAGTGGCATCGTCAGCATCTCTGAGCCTGCTGAAGTTTTCCCAGTGGTTTCATCCCAATTTCTGCTTCTTCTGATTCAGAATTTTTGCATGAAAGGCACCCAAAGCCTTTGTATAATCAATGTCAAAAAAAGGTTTTGTTTTGGAACTCCCTGACCTTTCCCACTATCAGGCATTAGCAAAACTATCTTAGGTGCCCCTGTCTCTTCTTACTGCAAGCTCTCTATTCTTCTATCCTGGGTCTTTGCCAGTCCCGGTTTGAAACTCTGAAAGAAATATATTCAGAAAATCTAATCCTGAGTCCTAGAAAATAGGAATAATATGGAATGAGAACAAATTTGTATACTAAAAGAGACCTGATCTGGGTGGCAGAGTAGAGACCCCAATATGTTGTTGGAAGAAATTTTCTGGGTTCGTTCCCAGCTGGGACACACCACAGACACTGAGAAGAAATGGATGCAGAAGCCAGCTGCCAGAAAGTGGATTTCTTTTAATGTAGGAAGGCAAGAAGCAAAAAGTGACACAGCTCCAGCATTCCTGGCTTGCAAGCACCTTGAAAGTGTGACTCTCAGCCTTTTATGCTTCATTCCCCTTTGAAGCTCTGCAGCTTGAGGGGTTTTGATGTGTTTCTGATTGCTCTGGGTTTTGTTTTCCTGGGTTAATCCTGGTCCCAGGTCTTCTGTTTTTCCTGTCCTTGGGGTTTAATCGGGGGGGGGGGGGGAGTTTCGGTTTACCTTGGAGAGTTTATTTTTTAGCCTGATTCCCCTTATCTCAATGATTTCTGTGGTAACAACTTTTGTAGCAGCCTTGAGCAGGCTGCTCTGAGTTTTCTCTTTCAGCTGATGCATCTTGCTTTTCTTAAAGGGGGAAGTCTGGCTTGAGTCTCTTGGCACTGTTTTCTGAGCTTTCTGGTGCTGTGAGGTTTCTGGCGCTGTCCTTTTGGGGTGTACTTCCCAGAATGCCATGCACACTCTTTTCAAAATGTCCATGCTTGTTGAGACAAGTGTATAGTCTCAGGTGGGCAGACCTTCATTCTGCCAAACCAATCTTGCAGCATGGCCTTGCTTTTAAAGGTAATAGCTCCAGGCCCAGCAGTTGGCTTGACAGGATGGCCTGAAGGATGTCAGATCAGCTGGAGGGGACGGTGTTTCCTGGGAGCCGGGCCAGGGGAGGGACGGCAGGAAGCATTTTCTGGTCATGGATGGCTTAGGAGGAGCCTCCTTATGCTGTCCTTGTGGCAGAAAGTGTATGAATTGGTTGGAAACTATCCAAATAGAGAAGCAGCCTAGAACTAAGGAGAAATTTCCTAACAGTGAGAACAATCAACCAGTGGAATTGCTTGCTTTCAGAAATTGCCGGAGGCTTTGAAAACAATTTGTCTGAAATGATATAGGGTCTCGTACTTGAGCAGGGGTTGGACTATAAAACCTCTGAAGTCCCTTCCAAGTCTGTTATTCTATGTTCTATGAATGACCTTATCTCCAAGTTCCAACTGGCCCAGAAAGATCGGCTTCCTTAGTGGTATCTTTTTAGCCTGTTGTCCTCTTTCAGCCTGCATTAACTCCTGGTATCTTCATGGGCAGATCCATGTTCTTTTGTGATGTTGTTTCAACTTGCCAGTCCTGGAATCTCCTGGTGGTCTTCTCTCTAAATCCCAACCAGGCTGAGCCAGCTGAGCTTTTTGAGACCTACCAAGTTGGGCTGGTGCTGCTCCTGAGCTGGTCAAATCTTAGTTTTACATTATTTATTTTTCAGACTTAGTGTAGGAGAGTGAAAAGGGGGTCAGCCTGGAATATCTATGTAGTGTGATGACCCAAAGAGGCGTGGCACAAAGGCAACACAGTCAGATAATCAGTAGGAGTCCCTTTATTAGCTCCAACTTTGTCCCAAATGTCTTGGTTACCTTCTGGGCTGGAGAAAAACTCTCCCAGGAAGAGCCTTTGGCTGCAGAGATTCAAGTCCAAAACATGGTCAACAAAAACTGTAACTATAAGTCCAATCAAGGAAAAATGAGGTAACTAGTTTGGCAGGGCAGGAACAAGAATTCCAGACGTGAAGGCATGGCAATAACTCAACATGGTTGGGAGGATGCCAGGAACACAGATAAGCAAAGCCAACACAAGATAAACTCATGTTTGCTCCCAGTGGCTGCCGCACTCAGCCTGCATGTCTTTTAAACTCTCTACCCAGCTGTGCCTAATGAAGGGAATCCGGGCCCTTTCCTCCCCCGTAAGCCAGGCAACCCACGTTGCTCTCTTCTCCATTCCTCCCCACGTGCCCTAGGATGAAGAGGGGGCGGGCCTGGGTCTTCCTCTGAACTCCCTCTCCCTTGCTCTACCTCTGCCCTGCTCTGCCCATCCGGACTTTGCCCTTCCCCAGTTTCCTCCACAGCCAACTGAGCCACACTCCCACTCCCTGTCAGCTGTTTGTCTTCCTCCTCGGGTTCAGACTTGAATGCTATGTAGCCACAAGCAAACTAAGTCCAGCTCCCCCTTGAATGCCACTGACTTTTATTTAACTCTAAGCAGGGGCTGACTTTGGTTGAGAAGATTTCTACCCAGAGCTTTTAGGCAATAAATCAGTTTAATTGAATCTTCATGTGTGGGTGTAATCTGTATGTCTGACACTTAGATAATTAAGACTGATGGCTGAGACCTGGCCTCCTCTTTTCTGTCAGGCCAAGAAGCACACAGTATGTTAGCTTTTGCAGTGGGTGTGGATTTTCTATTTTTCTTGCTTTTCTTGTAGGGGGAACTTTAGATATTTTCTTCGTTTTTTTTTAAACTACATTTTAATCCTATTGTAAACTGTAGTCTGAATGAATGTGGGAGAAAGCTACACTGAGTAACCTGCAGAGTGTTGCCTAGGATTTCACCAAGGATGACTTAGAGCAACACATAAACCTTCCAGGTGTCTCTTTGCTCACTGCAGGGTGGGAGGAGGAGACCTGCCCCCCCCCCAAAGAGTGGAGACCCAGAGTGGGCAAAGTCCTTGTTTCCAAAGACCCATTTCTGTTCCTCTCTGCTCCTCGCAAAACATTTATGCTTCCTGGGTTCAGTGCTCCACCCGTAGCAGTACTGGAAGAGCCATCTAGAGCAGAGGTCTCCAACCGTGGCAACTTTAAGCCTGGCAGAATTCAACGGAAGTCTGCCAGGTTTGAAGTTGCCAAGGCTGAAGACCCCTGCTCTAGACCAGATCCCCTCTAGGCCAAGGGAGCCCCTTAATCCCCATGGAGGCTTTTTGCTGAAGGGTTGGTGGTCCCATGCTGGGAGCTCTGAATCCTTGCTGATCGCTGTGGCTGCTCTATGGAAGAAGAGGCCTCCGTCTTACTAACGGATAAATCTGCAGAATCAAACAAGTTGCTAAGTGGTGTTTAGTTGTGACGGCTGTTGCAGGATAAACAAAATTTGGCATACTGCTTTTCATGGTACAAGGCAGGGGTGGGATTCAATTTTTTTAACAACTGGTTCTGTGGGCGTGGCTTAGTTGGTGGGCAAGGCTTGGTGGTCACGTGACTGGCTGGGCGTGGCCAACTCAACATCACTCACATCGAAGCACACTTCTCCTCACCTGGCCTCTCAAGACTGGGGATGCTGCAACACTCGTAAGTGTGAAAAACAGTCATAAGTCACTTTTTTCAGTGCCATTGTAACTTTGAATGGTCCCTCCACACAAGCAAAGTACCAGCAAAGGAGGGGGAAAAAACTCCAGAGAGGTTCCTGAGACAGGAAGTCTATTCCTGCCAAGAATGTAATAAGGGTTAATGGAGAGGCAGTTTCTGTAAGCAACCCCAGAATGTTTCCTTCCTGACTTCCTTACAGGATTAGCCCAGTAATTTCTTCTAACAACCGGTTCTCCAAAGTACTTAGAATGTTAACAACCGGTTCTAGCGAATAAGTACGAACCGGTAGAATCCCACCGCTGGTACAAGGCAAACATACGTAGCGTTTCATAGTTCAGTTTTTCTATGCATTTCATTGTTCTGTGGAAGTTTGGTCTGTGCCTGTAAATAAACTGGCCTAGTGAAGGGAGGCCTCTCTCCTTACTCTGATGGATCAAAAATGCCTTCTCTTAAATTTCCCCGTTTTGCTCAGGGAAGCAGCCTCTGCCTTTTTATCTTGGGGTTCTTCTTCCATGTAAGGCGCAGGGATGAGTTGCTGTTGAGCTGATCAGGCCTAGCTAATTTTGTCCTCCAGCCATTTAGTAAGCCCCTCAGACATATTTTGTCAGGATGGGGTTGGACAAGGGATTTTATCCAAGACGTTTCCTCCCATTGAGGCTATTTCTACTCTGTCCTCTTGGCCCTTGGCATGGGCAGGTCTTGCTTGGAGCTTCCTCAGGGTTCATTATTGTTACCAAAGAAGAAAAAACAATGCCTTTTTCTCTTTTTCCCCCCAATCCAGGATGTGAATGGGCAGGCCAAGGAGCCTTTGGGGCCCCGACTTTGCCACCTCAAGAAAGGGCCCAACGGCTACGGGTTCAACCTGCACAGCGAGAAGTCCAGGCCTGGCCAGTTCATCCGCTCGGTGGATCCAGATTCCCCGGCATTCAAGGCAGGTCTCCGGCCGCAAGACAGACTCGTGGAGGTAATAGAGGGATCTGGGAAGCAGGAGAAGGATCCTACCGCTTGGAGGGGAATCCACCCGATGTCGTTGCCACTCCGAGGTGGCAAAATGCGTTTGAGATATTTTTTCGCACTCTGTTGATAGGCAAAGGAAGCCAAAGCCAGAGCTGGCATCATGTGAAAGCTTTGGCTTTACAGCTTTATTTATTTTATTTATTTATCAAATTTCAATACTGCCCATCTTAGCTAAGTGGGCAGTTTATGATAAAAAACATACAGTGGTATAAAACGGGTAATTAAAAAACAAAAGCAAACACAGCATGAAGGACAAGGTTAAAATGAGGGTGTTCAAAAGTTAAAAAAGAGGCAGAGGGAACGCCCTCAAGCCTCCTGTCAGAGTTCTGGAGATTGCCCTAATTAAATCATGAGCCCCAGGCCAAGTTTCAAAAGATTTTTTAGGAGCAACATGTCGGCATTAACCTAAATGAAGCCAATTCTGGCATATGTGTGACCCTGTTTCCCCCCGCCCCCCCCTGGATTTTCCGCAGGCAGAAGATCTGGTAGCCTAGCTACAATCTTTGTAAGATAAGTGTGGAATGCACTTCTGGTTTTAAACTGCCGTACTGCTCCTTCAGACCCCCCCCCCCCCTTGTTTATGGCAATTTGAAAAGAGGCCTAGGAATGTTTTACGAGTTGACATCTCCATTCCCAAGGGTTCGGTCGAGCCTGGCCGGCCCTTCAACCCCGTCTCCGAGAGAGAAGCCCGAGCAGGACTAGTGCAGAAGAGGAGAGCCTGGGCTGGGGCCACCTTCCCTGGGTGTCCTGGGCGCTCTCAGAGCTGCCTGGCTCGCTTGTAGATGTTTCGTTATGCAGTCAGGTACAGGTCATCCTCGACCTGAGATGGCAACGGAGCCTGAGCCATGACGGCCGGAGGTCGTGACAGTGGTATAAAAAGAAACAATCACTCGGCGGATGCGATTTTAGGACCTTTTCTGCAGCAGTCAATAAGCGAACTGGGTGATATAAAATGAGCGCCATGGCTGCTAAGCAAATCCATCCTTTGCTGAAAACCAGAAGTTATAGGGAGTCCTCTACTTATGACCACAATGGAAGCAACCCCAAATTTCCACTGCTGAGGAAGGCAGTGGTGATATGACCTATGCCTCATTTTATGGCCCTTATTACCACAGTTATTACGCCAGTCAGTGAGGTTGTTAAGGGAGCCATGCGTTTGTTAAGCCAGTCTGGCTCCCCCCCCACCCCCGTTGACTGTTTGTCAGAAGCTGGTTGGGAAAGTTGCAAATGGGGATCGGGTGACCCCGGGAGGCTGCAACCGTCATAAGTGCCCGCCTTTGCCAAGCACCGGGACCTCGGTCCCATGGCCGTGGGGATGCTGCAGTGGCCGCAAGTGTGAAAAACGGCCCTAAGTCCCTTTCTTCAGTGTCAGAGTCACTTTGAAGGGTTGTTAATAGAGTGGCTTTAAGTGCTGCGTTCAGCCACACTCGGGTCTCCTGGCCAGGGAGGGGGGGCTGCAAATGTGGCTGAGTTCAGGTGGCTCTGGGGCGGGGGGAGAACTATAGAACCGGGTCAGGTAAGGAAACGCCTGGAAGGGAACCAGAAGCTCAGAGAGCACCAGGAACCCCCAATCCAATCCTGAGCTGCAGAGGCCCTCTTCCATTTGCGCCCTTCTCTGGGGCGGTCCTTGGGGGGCACCCCAAAGAGGCTCTTCCGGGCCGTTTCCTGGTCTCTGAGCGGCTGCCTGGCCTTCTGTCGGCCTCTGATAATTAATTCAGCATGCCAGGCGCATTTCCCAGGCGCATAAAGGGTGACCTGTGGAGTCGCCACCCGATCCAGGCGCCCAGGCTGCTCCTCCTCCACTTGGCTGGTGCGGGGGGGGGGGGGGGGGGGGGCCAGGGGGGGGGGGGGGGGCTTTCTCCTCTTTGCTCTTTTGTCCCCTTCGAGCTCCCCTCAGCCTCCCTCAGTCCCCGCCAGGCCACCTGTTGAAACACTGCAGGGACACTAGGGAGCGGGGGGGGGGGGGGAGAAGGGCTGGCAGCGTCTCCAGGGCTACGTCTGGGGAGCTCTGTGGGCACCTGCAGGGGTCCTGCCCCCCCTTCCCCACTGATTACTTAAAGGGGAGCGAGGGAGCCGGAGCGGCCACTGAGGGTGGGCTGGAAATGGAGGCTGACCGGAGGGTGGGCTGGCCAGAAGAATGAAGTCTTGCTGGAATCAGCACCCCAAGTAATGAATCTGGGGGATTTGCCACTCCAGGACCCCTGTGCCCATCTCCTCCCAAAGTGGGGGAGGTGGGCATTCAACAGGTGCAGACTCGCTCGGGGAGGGAGACAGCAGGAACTGCTTGGCTTCATTGGACAGATCTTCCCTCCTCACAGCGTGTCGCTTATGACGAGTTATTCTGCATTTGCCGTTTTGGATAATATGCATCATGTCAGCCCTGTGAGGTTCCCAGATCAGGGGCACCCCCCTGCCCCCCCCCCCCATGGGATGAGCCGACCTCTGCCTGGTTGAGAGCGGCTAGAACACCAGAGCCTCGCCAGCCTCGTTCTGCTTCTCCGCCTGCCCCGCTCCCATCGCAGTCCCTTCCCAATGCTCTCTGCCTTCCCGGGGCTTAAGCAGCGCCTCCGTCCAGCCTCTGGCTCCTGAATAGGGCTCCCTCTGGCACAGAGGTGCCTCTGGTTTCTCCCTCTGAACAACCCAAAACGGGGCTTTTATTGGCAACAAATCCTAAATAAAGCAAGACTTGCCTGGCTTATCATTTGCTTCAGAGAGGAAGAAAAGAACAGCCAGATAAGCAGCCGAAGGTCACATCGGGCCCCGATTCAGAGCCTTCCCAACTTCACAGCCTCCAGATCTCCAGAATAAACGTGCCCAGTTCCCACATGTGGGCTGAAATGCTCGGTGACTAATTTCCCATTGTAGTTTATCCCTCCTGAAACTTACATTTTCTCTGAAAGGCCTCCCTGCACGCAGGAAAGGAAAGAGCAGCACAGCAAGGGATTAACCGATCACTTGCTTTCCACTTGGAGGGGTTATTACCCTGCCCGGTGAATGGGCAAATATTCATCCTTCATCCTCATTTATAGTCCTCTGAACATAACAGAGCTGCTCTGATCCTTTGGCCTGCATCAAATAATGTGCATATACTGTATGTGTGTGACGTATACACACAGAGACATTATGTATATATTTTTTGCCACTGAAAACTAAAGCTGGGAGCTGTTTCCTGCTTCTTGCTGTGGTTGAGAGCTGTGTGGGCAGATCATTTCGCAAGAAGATCATTGAGACGTGAATAATGTTCCCTGCTATTCCTATTCCTATTGCATGACAGGATTGGTTTTTGAATAGCTAGTTGTGTGAACAAGGCTTGTAACCACTGAGATGGGCAACTGGTTCTTTAGGACCACAAGTGGCTTACCACTGCTCCTTCAGTGGCCCCACGATCTCCTCCCTGAGACCCTGTGTGTATTAGGGCACATTATGTAATCACAGCTTGGTGAGCCTCGGAGAATGGTCCCTTAGTGTTCCATCACTGCATGCTCTGAGAACCTGCTGCTTTAGGCAGAGAAAGTCCCGTCAGGGTACCTGATGGAAGCTCTCTCTACCTTCTCTGGTGTGGCTGCCCTGTTTCGCTTCTGCACGGATTGAGGGCCCGGCGCAAAGCCCTCGGTGCCCTGATGTGCATTTCTTACCAGCGTCTTCCTTTTTGGTTTGGCTGCCCTGCAGGTCAATGGGATCAACGTGGAAGGCATGAAGCATGCTGAAGTGGTGGCCCACATCAAGTCCAAGGAAAATGAAACGAGGTTGCTGGTAGTGGACCCTGCCACAGATGAACATTTCAAGAAACTGGGCGTCACTCCTGCTGAAGAACACATTCGAGGTGAGGGATTCCGGGGCCTGCTTGTGAGAAAGGCACCTCTGCTTTCTTGTAGGCTAACCCTGGTTAATCTCAACTGCCAAATCTATTTCTAAGGCCCCGAAGAAGTGAGAAATGAAATTGCAGGGGTGAAACCAATGCTTTGAAAACTTGGCTATTTTAAGATGGGTGGATTTCAGCTCCCAGAATTCTCAGCCAGAAATGATTTCTGGGAGTTGAAGTCCACACGTCTTAAAGTTGCTTTTGAAAAGCACTTGTATTCTCTAAAACAGGGGTGTCAAATTCGTGGTGTCACGTGGCGTATCTAGACTTTCCCTCCCCTTTGCTAAACCGGGCGTGGGCGTGGCCAGCATGTGACGCATCCAGCCCAGGGGCGGCAACATTGACGGCCCTGCTCTAAAAGGCCCTGTCGTTTCCAGAAGTGCAGCTGATAAATGTGCCCAAAGAGGGGCCTATAAACTGCTTAGAAGTAAATTCAACCCGCCCTGCCCCACTTTTGAGCAGAAAAGCTGTTGTAAAGTGGTTGAAGAAAATCCAGAATGTCACAATTAGAAGCTGGCGGAAGGGCAGCCACGGAGAGCCAGAAACCTTCCATGGACAGAACTGGAACCAAATTTTCCCCCAAGCCCCTTGGCAGATGCCAGGGAAGTAAACAGATTTTGAAAGCATCTGTGGCTGATTCTCTTAGACTAGAATAGGCAACCTACCCAAGAATGGGGGCATCTGCCTGGGGAGAGAGGTGGGATTCAACATTTTTTACTACAAGTTCTGTGGGCGGGGCTTGGTGGGCGTGGCAGGGAAGGACACTGCAAAATCCCCCTCCCCCCCACCCCACTGACCTGCTTTCCAGCTCCCTTCTCCTGTGCAGGCCAACCAAAGAAGAGCCAGCCAATCAGCTGGGACTCAATGGGAGGCAGAGAAGAGATGGGATTGGCGGGACCAGTCAGGGGGTGGCATTTGCTGGTTCTCCAAACTACTCAAAATTTCCGCTACTGGTTCTCCAGAGCTGCTCGGAACCGGCTGAACACCATGAGACAGACATTTAAAAAAGGAATGGAACCTTGTACGATTGCAGCTGCCATCTTGAGTTTTTTGACCCCCCTCTTGGGCAGATGCCCCTGCTGCCCAACCAGAAGAACAAAACTGTCCCCCTTCCCATTGTGAGTGTGGGCATGGCAGCAACACTGTAAAACTTAAGTGTCCCAGGAGTCCCCCAGCTGACCCTGACCCTCCTCCTGGGGCTGCCGGGGTGGGGGGCGGGGGTCTGGTTGCCCTTCAGCAGGTTGGATTTGCAAGACCCGGCTCTCCTCAGACCCAGGACTGGATTCCAGCTGCTATTCTTGCCTGGGGGGGGGGGGGGGGGGAGATCATGCCTTTCCCTCAACCTACATGACTCCACCGCCAGCCCTCCCCCCCCCTCCTCCTCCCTTCGCCAGGCTGAATGGGGAGCTCTGTGTTTTTAGCACAGCTGTTTCCTATTGAAGCTGCCTGCCCTCTTTTCTGGCTCTCAGTGGAAAGAAAGACTCCAAAAGAACAACTTGGAATAATTTGGAGATTCCTGCAGTGGGGGGTGGGGGGAGGGGAGGGGAGCGGCTGGTGTCAGATGTTGAGCTCAGGAACAGCCAAGAGACCAAGAGTGGAGATCCTTCCTTCTTAGCTCCCTGTAGAAGGAGCCCCCTGTTCTCTTGGCAAGAGGGGGCCAAGTGCCAGAACCAAGCACTCGTGCCCAGACCTGCTTTCCAAATGCTGCAGGCCGGGCTCCAATACGGCCCTTCTTCCTCCTGGGCAGGGGACTGTGGAGGAGGAGCTGGTCAGGCCCTGGGTGGGGGGGGAGTTGTCAGCACAAGGAGGGGGGAGTGGGGAGCTGCCTGCAAGACTAAGAAGGTTTGAGCTCCTGATTCTGCAGGCTGCTTCTGGTGGCACTGGCCTGATGCCACCCTGGCACTCAATGTGCCTTTGGAGCAGGCAGCATGCCCCCTTCCCGCCTGTGTGGCACAGCAGAGCGTGTTGGGTTTGGGCTGGGTTCAGATCCCCGACCCCTTGTGGGAGCAGAAGAGTGAGAAGGTGAGGTTTTGGAGGACACCCCGTGGACCTGAGCGCCCTCCAGTTTGGGGAGTTGTTGAATTCCAGAACCTGGACCTTTGCCCAGTCTGAGTTGGCCGATGGGCGCTGATGTTCTTGGAAGATCTGCAAGTTCTCCGTAGAGACCGTCCCTCGAACCCACCTGGCACAGCTAACAAGCCAGCCACATGAGGGCCACCCCTCCAGGAAGCAGCCACCCTGATCCAACCTGGGCTTGAGCAGCCGCCGCCATGCTAAGCCTGGCCTTGGCAGGGGGCAAGGGCACGAATGCCGACCCTCCTTCCCTCCTGGATTGGGCTCCTGCGAGAAGCTTCCCTGGAGAGAAACCTTTCTGGGATCAGGGCAAATGGCTGGAACCTACTTGAACCAGGTCCCCAGTGCCAGCACACGCACGTGTGAGAGAGAGAGTGTGTGTGTGTGTGTGTGTGTGTGTGTGTGTGTGTGTGTGTGTTGGGATCAGAATGGGAGAAAGAGAACCTTTCTGCATTTCACACTAGCCAAAATAAAGACTCCCCCATGTTGATTCCAAGAGCGGTGACTGTATGGACCCAGCCGCGTGGATTCTACCTGGTCGGACTGGTTCTATAGATTCTGCGCAGTTTGGAGAACCAGCAAATCGTGCCCCTGGCCAGCCCCGCCCCTCTCTGCCCAGTCAGTCCTTATCGCGCATGCGCAACATCACCACCTGCCCGACATCACTGACTGCGTTCTCCCCCGCCCAGTCACTCCTTGAGTTGTTTCTTTCCCCCCCTCCCAACGATCAGCTGTTCCGATGATCAGCTGTGCCGGGATCCCCCTCGCTGTCCTACTGCTTCACCCAGGAGGCAAAAAATGGAAACCCCCCCGCCCCATTTTTTGCCTTCCTGGGCTCCAGGGAAACTTCCTGGGGGCAAAAACACCCCTAGGAGGCTTCCCTGAGGCTCAGGGGGCCCAAAATATGGGGGGGGGTTTGCAAAAAAAAAAAAGAAGCCACGCCCACCCAGTCACATGACCACGCCCACCTAGCCACACCCACCTAGCCATGCCCACAGAACCAGTTATTGAAAAATTTGAATCCCACCCCTGGTTCCCCCTGGCCTCTTTCTGGGCTGGTTGTTTTGGTTGGGGGTCAGCCTAGCTGACCAGGGGTTCCCCAGTGGGTCTCTATCCCTGCACCAACCACTGTGGCCTGCTCTCACTTAACCACGGGTGGAGCTCTTCCGCACAACCTGCTCCTGACGGGCTGCGTCCCCTCCCCCCACCCCAGAAGCTGCAGAATGAACGGCTCCCCAGGCCAGAGGGCCAACCAGGGGATTAGGGGTCTGACGGAAGCGGTTCCTCACCGGCCTTGTTTCTGCATTTCCTGCAGGGGGAATTCCTCCACCTATGACAAATGGCTCAGCGCAAACCCAGGTAAGCAGAGCTCAGTGTTGGGCCTCTTGGTCATCTTCTCTAGCCAGCAAGTTTGGGCGTTTGGCCTCCCCTTCTGCCACTGCAGGGGCCCAGGGATTTTGGCCTCCCGGCCAGGTGGTCCTAAAGCGATCCAGGGAAACGGATCCAGGATGGCTTTCCATCTCTGGCCACGGCTGACAGATGGCCCTTGGCTGAGATCCCAGCATCGCTGCTTTGGGGGGCTGTGAGGGGCCCCAGGATCTTCCAGTTCACCTCATGACGTTGAGTCATCATATGGCACATCTGGCTCTGCCTTTGCACAGTCAGCACACCGGAGCCAAGCCTTTCAACTCCGCCTGGTGTCCTGGTGCGATGGGTCAAGCCAGCCTGCTGTGGTTTGTTCCACAAACCATGGCTTGGTTAGGGGCCCAAACCAGGTCTCTAGAACAGAGGTCTCCAGCCTTAGCAACTTGAAGACTTGTGGACTTCAACTCCCAGAATTCCCCAGCTGGCCATGGCCTGTTTTTCCGTTCTCTTCATCTGCCCAAAGTCTCTCCTTTTCCGTTTTTTTCTTTTTTAATCGAGCAAGACAAAAGCAGCTTTTTCCAACCAATGAGGGGGGGGGGGTCTTTCCCTCCGCGTCTTGTGATAAAAGTGCCCCCTTTTTCCATCCCTCACAGCTGAATGGCGGATCCATGTCTTCGTCCCACAGCGATTGCCAAAGTCCCGAGGAGGCCGAGGTAAAGCAGCTGGCATTTCCCTCATCCAGGCCAAGGACTGACTTGCAAGCCAGCAAGGTTTCATCCTTCTGATAGAATCCTAGGGCTGGAAGGGTCCCTGGAGGTCATCTAGCCCAAGGCAGGATTCTGCTCTCTCTCCCCTCCAGGGTGGGCTGGCCTTCCTGATCCTGTCCCTTGTGCCTCTTTGATTAGTCTTCGTCTTCTTTTATCTTCTTGCCTTCTTTGTAAGTCATTCGAACTCTCCCCGCCATGGGTGGCTCTTCTTGCTTTTAGCTTCCAGCCCTTTGCGAGTCAAGTTTCCCCCCCCCCAGCCTTCAGCCTCCCCCCCCCCGCCCCCCTTTCCTCTTTCTTTCTGCGGAGCAGCTGGTGACGTTTCCCTCCCTCTTTATGCCTCCCGCAGCCGGCATTTCCCCTCCTCTTCTCCCCGCTCTGAGTCTTCCCTCCCTCCTTGCTACCTGAAGCGGTTCTACATCTGCTGGCCCATCCCAGAGGAGGCCCCAGTCGAGCTGCCTTCCCTGGCATCCCTGAAAGGCTCTGCTGACCCGCAGAGGTGCGGCAGAGGGGCAGGCCTTCCGGGCAAACGCAAAAGGGATGTGGGGGGGGGGTTTCCACCCCGCACGTCCATCGTGGAGCAACAGGCCGCCCTCGCCCAGCCTTGCAATGAACGCCGCCCCGCACTGCATTCAGGCGGGAAAGGAAACACGTCCATGGCTTCTCCTGGGCTCTTCCTTTAAGAGCCAAACTGTGTGGCGCTCGACAGAGTGGCTTTGATTAGGAAAGATCCCCTCAGGCGCTGGGAAGAGCAGCTGGATCCTGGCTCGCAGGCGTCCAGCTCTGCATTCTTTCCACCCTTGGGGGGCCGGGGGGGAGGGAATGGGGAGCGCCTGCCGGTCTCCATCGGCCTTTGCCAGCCTGGGGAGAGGAGCTGATTCCTTGGCAGGACCAACTGGGTCCCTTGGGTGGCACCTTGCCAGGCTCAGCGGCACGAAGGGAGTGGCAGTTGCCCCTGAGGACAGACCGGGTACGTGTCTTCAGGGTGGGGGACCTCTCAGTCTCCAAGATCCTTTGGGCCATTTGGTGCAGTTCAACCCCCCTCCCCCCCCCCGTCTCCCGCTGGCTGCTCCCGTTGCAGAGCCAAGACAGACGAAGGGGAGCTGCTCTCCTGCCCCCTCCAAGCTGTTCTGCTGTACAGCCAGTCCTTCACTTATGACCACATGGAGCCTGGAATTTGGGTTGCAATTCATTGCAGTCCATAAATCGAGGCACCACATGGCCAGACTCGGTTTTATGGCCATTTTTTCAAAGTCATAAAGTGAGCCATAGCAGCCATAATACAGTTGTTAAGTGAATCCAGCATGGGTTTTTTTGCCATTCTGCTGGAAAATGGCAAAAAAAAACCCATTGCAAATTGCAGCCAGGCGACCAGGAGACGCTGCAAAACCAGGGGCCCATGTGAGCCAGTTGCCAAGCACCGGAAATGGCAATAAGACGACCGAGAGGAAGGGTGCAGCAATCACAACTCTGAAGCCGGCTGTGAGTAGCCATTTGAAAGCTTGCTCATCAACCAGTTGTAAACCGAGGGCCACCTGTATTCATAGGTGGATCTGCTTGAAGGATTCCTTCTGCTTTGGGTGTAGAAAGATGCAGCGGGGAGAATAGAATAGAATTCTTTATGGGCCAAGTGTGATTGGACGCACGAGGAATTTGTCTTGGTGCATAAGCTCTCAGTGTGCATAAAAGAAAAGGCACATTCGTCAAGAGCCAAGAATCATCAGGTACAACACTTAATGACAGCCGTAGGGTACAATCAGCAATCAAATCATACAGGGAAACAGTCAATATAGATTGGAAGGATACAAGCGACAAAGTTACAGTCCTACAGTCACAAGTGGGAGGGGATGGGTGATAGGAACAATGAGAAGGTTAATAGTAATAGTAGTGCAGACTTTGTAGTAGTTGGACAGTGTTGAGGGAATTATTCGTTTCGCAGAGGGATGGTGTTTGGGAAAAACTGTCCCTGTGTCGCTCTGAGGATAGGAGTTGGAACAGTTTATGTCTGGGGATGTGAGGGGTCTGTAGATATGGCTGTCTTCTTGGCAAACGGGTGTGGTGGTGGTGGGGGGCTGCTCTCTGGCCAGAATGCCAAGAACCGGAGAGGGGAACCAGGAAGCGGAGCTGGGGTGACGTTTGGGGGTGGAGTTTGGGTCCCATGGTCTCCCCGATGGGGGGCTGGCCCTTCAACAGGAAGGGTCTGCATTTTGTCAGCCCTCCAAGGTAGGGCACATCAGGAAACTCTAAGAGGAATACAGGAATAATGCCCCTTCCTTGTTGTGAAGTAGAGTTAGAGTCTCCCCCGGTCCCCTCCTGTAGCAAACCGAATCAAGGTGGCGCCATCTGGCGTGTGTTTCCCTCTCCTTCCCTTGGCTTGGACTCCGTTCTCCTTCCTGGCCCTTGTGGGCTGCCATCTCTGCCCTTCTTCACCGAGTTTGACAGGGAAGAGGAGAGGCTGCCCCCCTCCCCACCTGCCAGCGAGCAGGGACTGAGATGGAGGTCCTGGAGGGAGTTGCGGGGGGGGGGGAGCTGCTGGGCGAGCTCTGATCCACAGGCCCCTAGAGGCCGTGCCCCCCCCTCCTCAAATGCTACCAATAGGATCACAGGGCAGTTTTACCGGTGGTTTTCACTTACAAAGCCCGGCCCTCTTTGGGCTCAATCTTCTCCTTCACTCAGAATTGTCCCGTCCAGGAACATCTCAGGGAAGACCATTACAGTTCCTCACTACTGCATGAGGCAGGGGGTGGGGGTGGGGGTGGGGCTAAGGCACCAGGGAGGTGCCGCAATAGCCCTTAAACTTATATACTGCTTCACAGTGCTTCAAAGCCCTCTCTAAGCGGTTAACAGAGTCAGCCTCTTGCCCCCCAACAATCTGGGTCCTCGTTTTACGCACCGGGGAAGGACGGAAGGTGGAGTCAACCTGGAGCCTGGTGGGATTCAAACTGCCAAATTGCAGGCAGCCGGCAATCAGCAGAAGCAGCCTGCAGGACTGCACTCTCACCACTGTGCCACCACAATGCTCCTGATGTTATGGAAGAGCCTTCCTTCTTGGGACCATGGTATCTTCTGGACCAGTTGGGAGAGGGAGGCATGGTGTTACCCTGGCTCTCCTCCTTCCTCTGGATCCATTCCGGTCGGTGGCGATGCAGGAGCGAGATGGAGCCCAGCTCTGGCACCGTGGAATGCCTCGGGGCTGGGCATTCTCCCCACCCAGCGTCTATGCGGAGGTTCTGGGAGAAGCCATCAGTGATACGCTGATCATACCCAGCCGTTTCTGTTCCTGGCCAACCGTGGACGGCCTTAGAGGATTTTGGGGGCCACAGAAGGAAGAATCGGCTTCAGTTTATCCCTTGCAAGACTAAGTGGCTTTGGGCTTTAGGGCCTCTGGATCCAAGAATTTGCCATCTCTTGTTCTGATGGAGTTGCAGTGCCACAAAACAGAACCAGTGTCCAACCTGAGGGTCCTCCTGGACTTGCAGCTCCTGTTCAGTGAAAAAGTGGCCAGGACTTGCCTTGTGTGCCAGTGGCATTATTTTCTAGACTGACATAATTACTAAGGCCTTAGTCACAATGTGCTCTACATGAGGTTGTCCCCTTGAAGAACATTGAGAAACTTCAAAACTCTTCCAGTGGTTCTTTTTTTTTTTTAATGAGTTGGGGGAACATCACAGAAACATTTGTATTGCTGCAATTAGGTCACTGGTTATAGGAAGCAACCTTTGATGTTGGTTTCTTGTCTGCTTATTAAAAGCAGATCTTGAGATCCTTGCTTTCCTTACTGTCCTATTCCCACTCACACGCACACACACCACGGAGATTCAAGGGGTACCTTGAGGCTTTCCAAGCTCTCTAAACGTTTCCCCAGGGAATTCCAGTTCAGCAATGAGCTTCCCAAGTCAGTCCTGATGACTCCCACAATGAATCCATGGAGCTGGAACAGTTCACAAGGCAAGGGCAAGATAGAAGCAAAGCAAGGCACACCCACTCCAAAGTCCATCATCTCGGTCCAAGGCAAAGGCAAGTCTGAGGAGCAGGTTCAAGAGTCAAGGCATGAGTCCAGGCTCTTAAGTCCACAGTCCAGGTCAGGAAGATCAACAAAGAAACGGACAAATGCTAGGCACCAAACCGGATACGTTGCTCCCAGCGTCATTCCTTTCTTCTCGCTGCGCTAAATCCCCATCACAAGAGCCGCAGTGGTCAGAGTGCAGTACTGCAGGCTCCTTCTGCTGACTGCCAGCCGCCTGCAATTTGGCAGTTCGAATCCCACCAGGCTCAAGGTTGACTCAGCCTTCCCTCCTTCCCAGGTGGGTAAAATGAGGTCCCAGATTGTTGGGGGCAAAAGGCTGACACTGTAAACCGCTTAGAGAGGGCTGGGAAGCAGTATAGAAGTCTTAGGTGCTGTTGCTGTTGCTATTGCTCCATGTAGCTCATCAAGAGGGGCGAGGCTGCTGCCTCACAAGTAGCCGGGATGGCCGCCATTGCTCCTGCCTGTTCTCTGCTCTGCAGACTCTCGGTTCCTTCGCCTCCTGGCTGGCTGGCTGGCTGGCTGGCTGGCTGGAGCTGCACGCTCTCTCCTCCTGAGGCCTTGGGGCTGTCCTGCTCCAGCTCTCTCTCGACTGGCTCACACACAGCCGGCTGCTTGTCTGGTTGCTCCCGCTGCAGCCACCCACCCCGCTTGGTCTTGCTGATCCCAGCTCAGGGCCACCGCCCCCCTCTGGGCATGCTGCCACCCCCACCCCACCATGGGGAATGGGGCAACTCACCACCGCCAACTCACCCGATGGCTAACCTGCCACAGAACTGCAGGACAGTTCAATAATTCAACCGAAATATTTTTTGTCATTTGCATTTCATTTTCCTTTGGCATCCTTTATTTACTTATTCTATTCTATCATTTCTTTGCTCCCTGTGTAACTCTTGTCCTGCAGCGAGTTCCCTCCTCTGACCTGCCTGGGACTGGCTCTTCCTCTTCCAAGCTGGCACCCAGAGAGGCTTCCAAGGAGGTCATCGCACGAATGGTGGTTCCCCTAAGAAAAGGGTTATACTCTCCGCTTCCTTTTGAGCTGCTGGCTACACAGCCTATTAAAATGGCCAGCCCTTTAGGGTGAAATACGCTTGGACGGCATTTAGGTCAAACTGCTGTGGAAAACCACTATCTTGTCTCAGCATGTTGGGTGAACCTTAGCCTCACTTTAAACCGTTGAGCTAGCGGTCAATTGGTTGTGCAGTATGAACACAGCAATTCTATTTTATTCTTGGTTTTGGGGTTAGACATATTGTGTGAATCCTGCCAGCGTCAAGTTCTGTTGGCAGCAACCTACAGAGGACTAAAAGGATATATTTACCAGTTATCCTCGGCTTATGTTGGCAACGGGGACCAGAACCGCCATCACTAAGTGACTTGGTCACAGAGTATGACATCACGTGACCATGCTGCTTAGCCAGGGCAAGGCTGGCGGTTGTCATAAAATGAGGGCCTGAAACTTCTGGTTTCCTGCTGGCTTCCCCATTGACTTTGCTTTTGGCAAGCTGGCAAGGAACAGAAATTGTAACCATGTGACTGTAGGGACACTGCAATGGCCCAAACTCAGAGGACTGTGTCGTAAGTCCCTCTCCTTCAGCATTGTTTGAATGGTCTTTGAATGATTGACGTAACACGAGGAAACCTGAATTCCTTATATGCTTCTTTTAAGACTAGAAATGTTACTTTTTCCCACTCTAGAAGTAAGATGTTCGGGTGACTAATTTCCACCCCAACTTATTTTTGCAGCCTTGATTTGGTCTTGTAAGTCATGCAAAGTTTGTGCTGGGATTACAGAACCTGTCAAATTAGCTTGAAGCAGTTTAGCCAAAGAACTGCCCCCTGTTGAAGCTCCCTGGTTTCCTCCTAGGTAAGAGAGGCGAAAAAGAAAGATCCCTTTGAAGAAAGCGGGTTGAACCTGAGTCCCACTGCAGCGGAAGCCAAAGAGAGAGTGCGTGCCAAGCGGGTGAACAAGAGGGCGCCTCAGATGGACTGGAACAAGAAGCGGGAGATTTTCAGCAACTTCTGAACTCACCGAGGGCCCCGTTTCCCTTCCGGCCCCTCTTGCACGGAGACATTTGCAAGGTGCACAGATTGTGTCCCACTCCAAAGGACAGGGCCACAACGCACTCCATGCCCCACATTTTTCACAGGCAAGGCGGATTCTCTCGATTGCGAGGAGCGAAAGGAAAGGCGAAGAAGGTGGGAGGGAGGGAGAAACCGTTTATATTAATTATGGATCATTTAACTGGCAATATTAGAATATATTATTTATAGGACCATTTTTGTATAAGGAATTGTTTGAGTTGCTTTTCTCCCCCATTTGTGTTTAAATATTTTACAGTGTTTTTGCATTCCAAATCAGCACCTTTCCTTTCCATATAGCGGAAGGCTGGAGTTTCTCCTACGTAATGGACTGCAGTGTTAGCAACTTCAGAAAGGGATTAGCCAACTTCTCCTTGCTTGCGACACTTTTGGTTCTCAGCGTGGAGTTTATTTTTTCCATACTTTATCTTCAGTGCTTTATTTTTTTTCAGTACTTTATTCAGTTAGCACTTGAAATTCCCTTGTTTTTAGCATAGCAGGTGCTTTTCTTTTCAGTCCTTTTTCAGGCTCATAACGAAGCAAATACAAGATTTTTATGTTACAAAATACCACCCATGATTAAAAAAGATAGAGATCGTAAGCAGTCAAGCCAACCTCTTAAGGACCCCTGCGGGAAAACCTGCCATTTATTAAGGGATTGTAATCTGAATTCTTTTTTTTAATAACAGTCGCTCAATAATGAGATGAAAAATAATGAAAAGTTCCTTCAAGAATGAAGTTCTTGCTGGTAAGCAAGAAACATCTCAAGGTGAATTTCATCTCTATTATTCTAGGGCATTAAAAAAAAACTTTCAGTGCTTTAATTTTGCTGATCTTTCAGGAGCTGTGAGGCAGCCAGCCTCCTTTTCAGCTTGCAACCTAAAGTAGAAGCCTTTTTCTGTCCCCAAGATGTTGACAGGGTTTGGTCTCGGGTGGGACTAATCTTCCCACAAGTGGTAAACATGATTGTGAATTTGGTGTGAGGCTCTTACACAGTTGTTCTTGGGGAAAGTGTGAATGCAAGATTCCAGTGGGCCTGTCTGCTGCTGCTCCCCAAAGAACATCTTGGCACATCTGCTCCAGAGCTGTGTCCATTTGGCCTAACTCGGGGAAGGCTCAGCATCCAGAGAGAGTGGGCAGCCAGGGGCTCCTGCGACTCTGTGACGAGATCTGGTGGCCATCATTGGCCATTGACCGTTCCGAGGGGCCGAGAGAATGGAGCCCACAAGGAAACTCTTGCATCTCAGCTGTTTAGGCAAGGAGTGTTTTTACTCTATCTTTATTCCTGGCAGGACACGTCTCGTGGGACATTTCTGCTGCATATGCCACCGTGCCTTGGATTCGGGTCAGGACAGAGCAGGCACCACCAAATGGATTCTCTTTTGGTGGGAATGTGGTTCTAGCGTTTGGAACAGCATAAAATCAAGGCAAATATTTCCAAGTAATTTCTGCAGAACTCTCTTGCCAATTCAAATGCCACTAAGAGTTCTGGACACAAAGTGGGGCTCACTCTGGACAGAAGTACAGCTCCCAAATTTCAGGGATGTCCCAGACTCCTCCAGATGAGCTACCAAATTGGAATGATTAATTTGGCAGGAGGGACAAGTGGCAAGTCAGAAATAATGTTAACCACAGAGTCTTCATTAAACCTAAATATAAACCTAACTGAGCTAATGAATGAACCCTACCCTCCTTCATTTTTTGTGGGGGGGGGCAGCCTCTTACAGGATGAGGGTGGTCTTTGGCATGGAAGAGAATGTCCACCCAAGAACAGTTCCCTCCGCAGGAAGGGAAGGGCCTCGCAGCTTTGCTAAGGAGGGAAGGAAGAGGACAGGGATGGGTCTGCCAGCCTTCCCGAGGAAAAGGAACAGCTTTTCTTTAAGAAGCTAGCTGAATGGGATGTAGTTTTTCTTTCTTTTTTAAGGAAGCAGAGGGCATATAAACAATTGCCTTTTAATGATGGCAGAGATTACATTTTGCTCTATTTAAGGGTCCACCAGGGACCCAAACTCTAGGCGCTGGCTGCAAGGGTGCAATCCAAGCCCTGCCTTTTTTGCCTACAAACTTTCGCCATGTGCTCCTGAAAGGAGGGGGGAGTGATGTTTTTGAACGTTACAATAAATGAACAAATTTGGAGCTTTATGAATATTTTGTAAATGGTGGAGCTGAAGTTTGCTTAGTTTATTCTCCCTTTGAAAAAAAGGTAGTGGTTGAGCAATTGCAGCATTTCTTCCGAGAGGGGCTTTTGTTCAGGCGCTGCCTGGATTGACTGAAAGGCCCTTCAGAGTCGGTGGCCAGAGCGAGGGCTGGGATGCTCTGAGGAGGCTTCAGATACGTGATCTATTAGTTTGGGATGCATTTGCGCCTCTCATGCCAGGCCCCACTGCCTAATTATGCCCCTAGGAGCCTGGCTTCAACCACAGGATCTCTGGGAGAAAAAGGCCTCGTATTGCAAGAGAATCCAATTCCAGATTTGGCTGCTCGCCTTCTGTTTAAGAGAACTTGTCAGGGGCGGGGCAGAAGTTGCAATTCACATCTCACCCTTTCTTGTCTTCCAATAAATCTGACTGTAGAAGATGCTTTTGTTTTTCAAAGGACAAGTAAAAGCCGTGAGTGTCATGGTTCTCTGGAACTTTGTCTTGTGGCTTCGTAGGAAGGAGATATCCAGGTGGAGGCTTGGCAGGGGTCCCGTCCACCCTTTTGGACTGGTAGGTGTCTGTCAGTTAGGCAGCTAGCAGTGCCTGTCATTTTTGAGTTTTATCTCTCCAGCTTGTGCACCTCGGGGTTCTGCAGAGGTGTTGGGGGTTGAGAACGATGAGTAGTGCATTTCTGCTTATCTGTGGGAAGTCCCAACTTGGGAAAGATTAAACAATATTTTTTTGATTCCATTGATGTTTGGCTTCACCATTGACCATGCAGGATGTCAAGGACTGATACAGATCACAGAAGCTGGCTCCTTGAACACCACTGTTAAAATGCATTTTTAAAAAGGTTTTTTTTAAAAAAATGAAAAAAAATCAGGAGTGCCCACTGGGTGTTTTCCAAGAAGTCAAGATGGCAGCCAAGGCCCCGCCCTTTTTCACAGGTGACGCATGCACAGAGGAGGTAGGGCTTCCGTTGCACAGCTGTTCTTGCCATCTCCAGTTTTTCTTTCCTGCCCCCCAGCTGAACCCACTTATGACCAGAGAGGATAATGTCACTGCACTTTTCAGTTTCTCTGCAATGATTCATCACCACATTCCAAATTATTTTAATAGCTGTCCTGCTGCAAGCGATTAAAGGAAGGAGGCATAAAAATGTGGCGTGACAATGTACATAAGGTTACAGAAATGGAAATTCCACCCCCATCCAATTTATGGCTGCAGGAGTTCCCCTCTGCCTCTACTTGGGCACCCCCATTTCTGCTTGGCTCCCCACAGCAAGAGCTGGTGGGCTCAGAGCCCCAGGCTGGGAGATGTCCAGCTGATCTCATGGGGGCAGGGGGCTGCTCTTCCTTGGGGAACCGGAGCCAGCACAACAGGGACCTGGAGACGTTGAGGAGTGCCAACGTGGAGAAGGCATCTTCTGGAGGAGGTGTGCATGTTTAAAAAGTGTGGGGACACCAGCATTAAGGTGGAAAATCCTCAGGGGTTCGTATGGCTTGCACTGAAAGTGTTTTTTGAGTCACCTTTTATGGTTTGTTGTCAGAAGTGCTTGGCTTCATTGTTTTATGGAATTGTCTCTAGACGTCAGGGCAAAAGGCAGGCACCCCCCCCCCCATGGCATTTTCCTCCAGAGAGCAAGTGTGCAGGTGCCAACCTAAGAAGGGGCTTTGTTAGTTTTCAAGACTGAAGGCTGTCTGGATGGGGTGGGTGGGACGAAGGCCCCCCAGGAGCCCAGCAATTGCCCCGACCTGTCACCTGCGTTATTCCCAAAGGGACTTCCCTCTGCTTCCTGGTATGATGCTGGTGGATAAAAGCACACACTGTCTTCTTTTCCTGCCATCCTGCCAGCTCTGTAACTTGATTTCTGCATATTTTAGAAATTATCTCACACAAAAACTGACAAAAAAGAACTCCTTTAATTAAAGCATTGTGTTTAAAAACGTATACTATAATGTCAATAATAAAACTGGTTTCTCATGGCTTTGCTGTGTTGGTGCCGTTGTTTTCTTTCCATCTTTGCCCCTTCCTGGGAACTTGTCCTCCAAGCACATTTCCCAACAATTCTCAAGATTCACCCTGTCACAAATGTTCTCCCGCGTCTTAGACTTTCCTGGAATGGAGATTCCAGACAGGGAAGAGGTGCTACTCTGGTATGAGGAAGAGAAACTCAAAACCCAGGCAAGGTTGACTTGGGCTGGGTGAGCCCGGCCTTATTTATGGCTGGTTTCCTTCCTTCAGGAACCTAGCAATTCTCCATGGCACTTTGGACAAAGGCCTCTCTGATCCTAGTTCAGCCGTGAGCCCTTGTCTGCAGAGTTGCGTCCCCACTAACCAGTCAAGAGCAGAGCAAGAATGCTAAGTTGGTCTCTTACACCCCATTGCACCCTGAAACTCGGTTGCCTGCTTGAGTTGGCTATTGGGGCAAGACGCACACTTGGCAGTTCCCAGCATCTCTCACAATTACAACGGCCTCTTGGGTCCCTTCCAACCCTCAGGATTCTATTAATCTTTTACTGGGGATGGTGGTGTGAATCCTGCAGTGTGCAGAGAGTTGGTCTTGATGACCTCTTGGGTCCCTTCCAACTCTGAATCTATTAATCATCCGGGGGGGGGGGGAATGTTGGAAGCCCAGGGGACTGCAGTTCTGCAATGGGCTGGCTTTGGCTCCTCCAGCATCCGGGCTGCGCCAGTTTCGCTTGCTTTGGGCACCAGTCCTTCCTTGAAAGGATGCCGGCCTTGGCACCCACTGACCGGCCCTCCCTGCTGTCCCAATCTGTCCCTCTCCAGTACTGTGCTGTGACTGTTGGTGCTTCAAGCATTCTGCCGGATGGTTTGTTTCCATTTCACTTGGAGAGATTTTGCCCCTTAATTGATGAAACCAGCTATAAATATTTAGTATAATACAGATAAACACCAGATCTGTGCAGTCATTCCTTCCCTTTCCCCACTTGAATGAAGCCAGCCTAAGTCTCTTCCCACATACCTTATTTATTAAAAGTGCTTCCTGGGCAAAGTCCATCCTTCCTGGATAGCAGCCTCTTCATGGAGGCTCGAGAGGCAGCGTGAAACCCCAGCCTGGCACTTCTGTGCCCAGAGCTGGAGGGCATGGAGGACTCCGTGCGGTCGTTCCCACCACCACCTCGTCTGGGGAGGCGCTGCAGTTCCTGGGACGGGCTCCAAGCCTCAGCCTGGCGTAAAACAACTCCTCCCCAGCAGCAGAAGCCCCGAGACAAAGAGGCCAGGGTGTGTGTGTGTGTGTGTGTGTGTGTGTGTGTTCCTCAGCGCTTCATGGATGCCGGGCAGATGTTCCTGTTGAGGCACTCGCTGCAACGTGGACGGACAGGTAAGCAGATCTGCTGCCCGAAGCCGACCAGGAGCCAGTTTATCTCACTCCAGAGAGTCCTGCAGGAGGAAAGGAAGCATTCCAATGTAGTAGGAAAAGCAGCACAACCTGGAGGTCCAGCAGTGCCTGAAGCAGCCCCACCCTGGGATGTCACAGGAAGACAATTCCCAACCGGAAAGACGGGGGAACGTCAACCCCAGGACATAACTACCAACTCCGGAGCCTTAAGCAGCAGAGGTGAGCTGGTAGCCGACATTGGGGACACGAAAGCGAGGTCGCCACCACACCCCACTTATCGAGGCTGCCCCCTGCCTCTCCAGAACTCTTCCCTTTCTCCTGGGCTGGGGGAGGCGTTTTAGAGCCGCCTTCCATGGATGCCCAAAGGGGACACCTGGCAAGAAGGGAGAGCCCGGAGCTGGTCTTTGGCTCCCCTTAACCAGGGAGCGGCTGGCCTGCTGGCACCACGGGGATGGGAACCCCAGCCCCCCACGGTGGGAGAGAGACTGCCTGCAACTGGGAGGCACGCTCCAACCCTGCTCTTGTAGGTCAAAGGTCAAGCCTTTGCGGCCACTCTGACATAGATAAAGGTGGAGTAATTCCAAGGGAGAAAGAAAGGGGTGAGGAGGCGTGCCTGCCCCCCTTGGAAGGAGCAGCGCTGCTGAGGGATCCGTGTGTAACGCAGACCTCTGACGACGAGGGTTTTCCAGCCCGCCTTCCAGAGAACGAAGGCCACTTTGGCGCTGCGGTTACGGCACCAGACCGGGAACGAAGAGCTCACGAAGTCTAGTCCCCTCTCAAGCACAAAGTGGCGTGATTTGGGGCCACTCAAAGTCTTATAAAGAACAAGGTGGGGATGGAAAATCACTTCTGGAAATGTTGGCAAGAAAATGGTGGGGATTCAGTCGGGGGGGGCGTTCACCAGGAGTCGAGACTGATGCGAAGCCCCTGCCCCCGTCTTTCTGCAGAGAAACCTGAGCTTTTCCAAGGTGGATCCCAGTTGCAGAGAGGAAAACGTGATGACCCCCGCCCCTTTCTCCTTGAAGAGGCAGTATCGGAAGGAAAGGTCAACTGGAGACCAGTTTTGGAGCCCCCTGGCCTGTATCTCATCCACTTAATTAAGGGTGTTGTGGTTGCAGACGGCTGTGGAATCGGACAGTGTGGAAGAACGGGGACCAGGTTCACCTGGGAGTGGGGTGCAGACTCCAGAGTCTGGCAGCAGCGAGGCAGAGGGACAAGGGGAGCCTGTTCCCAGGGCGCATGTGCGCAGAGCTGCCAGAAGGCAAAAGAGCAACTGAGGCAAAAGGGGTGACTTCAGAGTTAAGGTTTGGAGGTGATTGGCCCCTCCCATAAGGTATAAAGGAAATGCAAAGGTAAGAGAAACCTTTGCTGGAAGCAAAGCTGTTTGCTCTGTTCGGATTAACTTTTGAAGCTCTGTGTGGGGACTTTGTACTTTGGTTGGCTTTCTACACTTCATTTGGCACTTCAGTTGTTGGCATCCATTCAAAGGAGAGAAAGGTGGGTGCTTATCTCGAGGGACTGTTTGGGACTCATTACCAGCTGGGAATGAACATAATTCTCAGCGTTGAAATAAAACAGTTGTTTGGACTAAGCATGTGCTTCATTACGGTCTTCGGAAGCCTTGGTCAGAACATGTGGGAGCTTCTTAATGTTCTTGCACAAAATTCATGGGAGCTGGGACCCAGAGACTAAGAGGGAGGGAGGGAGGGAGGGAGGGAGGGAGGGAAGGGAAATGTTGAGGCTCACCTGGGCAGCCATTCTTCCAGGGCTTGCCTCGTTTCCTCTGGAAGTTTTGTTTCCTTTTTTGCCCACTTCAGCCTGTTGCAAATCCGATGTACGTGCGTGTCCACACCTGTAGTTCAAAGTCACAAAGAGGTGTCTGTCTTAAACAAGGATGGGGGGGGGGCAAACTCCCAGAATTCCCCAGCCAGCTTTGGATTTTGGAATTTCACGCCACATTGACTCTCTTTTGGTGGGAACGTGGTTCTAGTGTTTCTGAACAGCATAAAATCAAGGCAAATATTTCCCAGTAATTTCTGCAGAACTCCCCAGACTCCTCCCGATGAGCTACCAAACTGGAATGATTAATTTGGCAGGAGGGACAAGTGGCAAGTCAGAAATAACGTTAACCACACAGAGTCTTCATTAAACCTAAATATACACCTAACTGAGCTAATGAATGAACCCTACTCTCCTTCATTGGGGGTGGTGGGGCAGCCTCTTACAGGCTGAGGGTGGTCTTTGGCATGGAAGAGAATAGAGAACGGTTCCCTCCACAGGAAGGGAAGGGCCTCGCAGCTCTGCTAAGGAGGGAAGGAAAAGGGCAGGGGGGATCCCAGGAGTTGGAAGTCCTTCGGGCTTAAAGCTGCCCAGGTTGGAGACGCTGCTCTAGAGGGCTGGGTCAGATGATCCAACCCTACAATTCTGTCTATGGGTTGGGCAGGCACCTTAGCCGCTGCTTCGAACCCGAGGGTCTTTCCAAACTCAGCCCCGATTCTTCCCACTCCCAGGAACAGAACCTGGAGTCTCAGGCTGAAGGGCTACACGGCTCTTCTGCACTAAGCAGAAATCGGGGGGCTTCTCCTCCTGCCGGTGTCCCAGGATCCCAAGCTTCCCTCGCCCGTTCCTGCCATGGCTGGAAACCATGGAAGGAGGAGAACAGCGGGGCTCCCAGGGGACACGAATCGTCACTGGGAAAGAAATCGAACTGGAGACTCCAACATCCCCGCTGATCTACTTAATGGCAGCTTTGCCCCCCACTACTCCTTCTCAGCTGCTCTCACAGCCAAGGAGCCCTTCTTCAGGAATTGACAAGCCGCATTTCCTTCCAAGGTCAACTCCCCCCACCCCCGCAAAATAGCTCATCAGCATAAGGCACCGCAGTGCCCCCTGCTGGAGGATTCTGTCATGTGCAGAGAGATTCCAGGCAGAGGTACCCCAGCAGCAGAAGCAGCATTTGCATGCCTGAGTCAAGGTGTCCCTCCCCCCTCAGGCCTCACCTCTGCCGCCCCCCCTCCCCCATGGCTTGTGACCATCCTTCCAGACCCATCCCTCTTGATTTGTTCCCCTCCGAAATTTGGGCTGGTTCAAAAAGTGGCTGGCAGGCAGCTTTCACACCAGCCCACGGAAAGGACCCTCGTCCCCCTAGAAGGGACAGTCCCACCTATCCGGTTTCTCTCGTCAGGCAGGTAACTTTATTGTCATGTTTTTTTTCACTGCGAGCACCGCGGCCCCCGTAAAAAATGAAATTCTGTTTCCTGCTCTCAAGAGAAAGTGTATTATCTACCCAAACACATACACCACACATACACACATGCCATATACATACATAAATATACACCTGCACCATACATACATACATACATGCATACATACATACACACACACACATAGATACATACATACAAACAAAAATGACTGTCCATTTTGAATACATTGCGGAAAGAGGAAACTTGGGAGTTCGCCAGGTTGATGCTGCGTGGCACAAAACTGCGACTGAATCTGGGAATGTTCTGCTTTGGAACCCCGGAGCCCCCCCCCTCCCGGAAGGGAGCAAGGAAAACGGGTGGTGAGGAGGACGTGCAACCTCCCAGCTCAGGCCGTATGCTCTGGCTCTGGCGATTCTGCTGGCATTTCAGAAAACTTTCAAGCACGTGGCTGTTTTCCTAGGAGGAGGAGGAGGAGGAGGAGGAGGAGGATGAAGTTGGTGGGATGGATGCCACTGGTAGGGACAGTCCTTGGCTCCCCTTCCCTACGTTCAGTATCTGTCATCCTGGTGACCGACTGTCACCTACGGGGGCTGCCCAGGGACAACGTTTCAAGACAGGGACATACAAACTGACTGAAACACAGGTTGTCCTCAACTTACAACCACAAATGGAGACTGCCCATCATCTGGTAAATTGTGCTGGTCATAAATCAGGTTCACCCATGTAACTAACTCGATTTTATGACTTTTTTTGTTTTGTGGCAGTCATTAAGTGAATGCTCTGGTTTTAAAGCTGCAAATGGGCATCAATGCAGAGCAACTGCCGAGGCATCGCGCTGCAGTCCTGTGACTGCAGGGGGAGGGGCAGGGACTGTCGTAACTTCAGAACAGGATCCTAAACACCCAAGGGATGGCTGTGTAACTTTGAATGGCTGCTAAGAGACTGGTCATAAACTGAGGACCACCAGTAAATGAATGAATCTCAATGTTGAAGTTTGGGCAATCCAGATGTCAATCTGACAGCTGAACAAGAATTGGAAGATGAAGGCTTGGAAGACGGGAACATTAGCGAATATCAACTGGACACGTGGCAGGGATTGTAAAAAAATCTAAATGTGTGAGAATTAGCTAAATGCTTGTTCCCCCGCAAAGACCCAGAAAGAAATCCACTATGGCAAGAGACCTACCGATCCCAGAGACATTCTTCCAGGCAATGGCCATCACCAGGTGGGCCATCTTCGGACCGACCCCAGGCAACTTCACTAACTCGGCAACCGTTTCCGGGATGTCACCGGCATAGTCCCGCTTCAGGATCGCTGTGGTTTGCTGGATATATCGCACCTTGTTCTGCAGCCCATGAAAAGGTCAGTCATTGCACTGGGCTAACTCGGGAGGAGGAACAGCCCTGCTGGATCAGACCAAGGCCCATCCGACTCCTGCATTTTCTTTTTCGTTTCCTCTTGTGTCCTAACCAGCTGGCTCCAAGGGAACTGTGTGTTTGCAACTCAAAAAAAGACCTACCGGTACTTTATCCCTGTCCCGCCTCTGTTCCCCTTCGAACAGTATTTGAAGACAGCTTCCTAGAAGTAACAGGGAAGCCTCAAGACCTCCATAGACCTGACCTGCATTCTCTAAAACCCTTTGAAAAGCTATCCAGTTTATAGTGCCTATTTCACCCCATCTTAAGAAGACCGGAGGACTCTGCTGGATTAGGCCAAGGCCCACCTCGGTCCAAAATTGTGTTTCGTGCAGTGGCCAAACAGTTGACCTTGGAGGCTCACAGCCCAGAGATGAAGACCAGCACACTCTCTTGCAAGTTGTGTCCTCCAAGAGATACCTGGAAGGCATTTGCTTCCAGCCTGGAGGCAATTCTCCTGTCTTCAAGGCCAGCAGCCCTCCAGGCTGGTGATCACCATCACCACATTAGGGCAATGCATGTCACAGGTTCAGAATGCGCCGTAACACTCAACAACAGCAGCACGAAGACTTAGATACCACCCAACAGCCCTCCCTAAGTGTCAGCTGTCCAGCTGGAGGTTCCAGAGAGAGACCTCATTGTGTTTCCCCAAAGGAAAACTTCACTGGCACAGAAGAAACGACACCGGCTCTGGTTTTCCCGCACACAAGAAACTTGCTCTTTCCCTCTGGCCATCCCCCTCAGTTCCTTACTTTGCTCAATTAAACCCGCTTTTTTTGTTACGGGAACAGTCTGGATCTCTCAAACCGCTGTGGTGTGGGACCTTGGGGTTGGCAGCAGGGTCCCTCGATCTGCAGGCTGGCATTCCGTTCCCTCCCTGACATACCATCCACCCCCCTCCCGACTGTTGTCAAGAAGCAACCTGGTGAAAGAGGGAATCGCTCTTCTTGAGAGTTTTACGGAGTCGGCCTCTTGCCCCCAACAATCTGGGTCCTCATTTTACTGACCTCGGAAGGCTGGAAGGCTGAGCCAACCTTGAGCCAGAGATAATTGAACTGCTGGAGTGAGCAGTGGGTTAGCCTGCAGTAATGCATTCTAACCATCGCACCACCACAGGTCTTATATATACTTTTTTATTTTAGATATTTTTATTAGAATATGTTTTTGTAGAATTTTTTTGCTCTTGAATTTTTCTTTATAAAGCAAAGTTATAAACCCCAAAGAATGGATTTTTGTTATACCTATGACTCTCTTTCAGTTTTTCAGGGCTGTCCTTTATTTTTTCTAACACCTATCTATAGGTAACAATGGTCCTAATGTCTTGAGGAGGAGGAGGAGGAGGAGGAGGAACATGTCTTCCTGCCACGCACAGAGCTCGGCCAGGCCATCAAAGGGGACCCTGAAGGGGACAGAGGCAGATGCCCCCCCCAACACCCCGCGCCTTCGGCCAGCAAGATCTCCTTGCCACCTTGGGATGTGCAGAGCAGCGTTTCCTAATTGGCAGGAGGTTACGTTGGCTGCTCTGTGCAGGCAGAAGATGTACTGCACTGAGGATACCAAGTAGTTTGGTGACAGCCACATTCACACACCGTGGGCCATTTGGGCAAAGCCGTTAGGACGGATTGTGAAGTTCCAACGGGGGCTTTGAGCCCAATCAGCCTTCCTGACAGGGTCGGGATGGGGGTGAGTGGGTGGTAGAGGTGCTCCCGTGGAAGTCAGAGAGCAGATTAACCTCTCAAGCAACCAGGGTTCCCCAACTCTTCCCTTCGCCACGTGGCAAATCACTCACCCTCCAAAAGCCGACAGGGTAAATGAGCTGGCCCAGCGCCTCCTCGTCCGTCTCCAGGATCCGCTCCACCGTCAGGCCATGCTCCCGCAGGCGCATCATGGCCGCTGAGGTCACCTGGTCTTTCGTTTGGCTGGAGAGCATGAGCGACAGCAGAATCTGGTAGCGCTTCACCTGCGAAGCAGAAGGGAGAGAGGTGGGGGGGGGGGACCCCCTGTGTTTCCGGCTGCCCCCCCAGGCCCTCCTCAGCCTCGTGGCTGCCCTGCTCACCTCCGGAGGGGCCTCCCTGTCAAAGCAAGCCCCAGCTCCCATCTGGTCGACCGGGGCATTCCTCTGCCTCCGCATCTCCCGGATGTTGGCCAGCTGCTGCTCCCAGTTGGCCGGTTCCCATTTCTGCTTCTTGGCGTGGGGGGCCTCTGCTGCCCCATTTCCCTCTGGGGGCTCATAGGCAATGCTGACTTTCCTCCCCCGCCGGAGGATTCTTGGGCAGAGGGCCTCTCTGGGTGCTGTGACACATAGTGGAACAAACACTCAAATAAGCAACGGGAGACTCAGAAAAGTTCTTGGTTCATTTCACCCAGTGCTACAAGATAGGACGACATTTTCAGACTTGGCCGAAGGAAAGAGAAGACACTGAATCGGGAAGGAAGAGTCAAAGAAGGAGAACACGAAGGCAGCAACTGGGAAGGAAGCGGGTGGCTGCAGCTGCAATCCCCTCCCTGCTTCCTGAAGGCTCTGGGCAGCTCACAAGGAAAAAAAAAACACTCGCATCAAGGCTTGTTCTTGGCTCTTTTCCACAACCAGCCAATGCCTGCTTTTCTTCTTCACCATTTCGCTTGACAAAGGGCATCTCTACATCCCTTTCTCACAAGCCAGGCCTAATGTATCAATATCACTACAGAGAGGTGATGCATCGTGAGGAGTTGTTGCCTTTCTTGTTTTGGGGTCCAAACTGCCAGTTCTAGTTCTGTCTAGTTCAGTGGTCCCCAAGGGAAGGGGCAGAGTTCCACGTGCTGCTTGCATCCCGCAGATGGGGCTTGTTTGCATGGCCCAGTACTGGCCCACAGACCCGGGTTGAGGAGCCCTGGTCTAGCCCTTAATGGCTGCAACTGTGTATCAGAGATATGGGCTTGATGATTGTTTGTCTGTCAAACGTGTACGAATAAGAAGTATAAATACGAACATCAACAGGAACAAAGGGAGTAAATATAGGTAAATGGGGACAGTAAGACAGGGATGGTAGGCAGGCTGGTGCACTTATGCAGGGCCCCTTAGGAACGGGATGTGGTGAATTTGTATTAATATCAAATTATGAAAGAAAGTTAACAATTTCAACGTGAAACTATTGTCATGCTTGTTTTAAAATGTAAAACAACCTGGAACCACACTGTTCAGACAATGATGTGTATATAGAAACAAAAAATGTATTTAAAAAAAGGAATAGGGTGATGCCCACGGTAGACAGTGTGAGGTTGAAGCTGTGAGGGTTCGTGGCTGTAACAATGGGGTCGGATAGGGCATTTTGCTGTATTCCCACCATTCAAGTTTGTTTTTTAGCACTTTTCTCACTCCTTGGATATATTCCTTATTTATCACATTTATGCCCAGTCTATGCTTGATGTAAACCAACTGTGAAATGCCTAAATACGTGTAAGCTTCATCCTGATCGTTTGGCTATTTAACATTTCAGTTCTATTACTGAGTATGATTTCAACCGAAACTACTGCTACTGTAGCATATTTCTCAAGACCAAATTCCATTGCTATTATCTTTTCTCAAAATTCTGACAGTATTTGTCAATGACTTTATTGTTTTTACAAATAACTCAAGGTGTCGAGCACTCCTAATCCTCAATGTCTATGGAGATTCTCCGTCCTCCAGGTCATGGTTGTCCCAAAGGTACTTTTTCTTCAAGAGGCAATGGGACTTTCTGGTTTTTCTCTGAAGACATTTCACTTCTTATTCAAGAAGCTTCTTCAGTTCTCTGAAGAGCTCAAGAAGCTTCATGGATGAGAAGTGAAACTTCTTCAAAGAAAACCAAGAAGGCCCGGTTGCCTCTGGGAAAAAAAAAGCACCTTTGGGGCCCCTTAATCAGATAATAGATTAACAGAGTTGAAAGGGACCTTGTAGGTCATCTAGTCCAGCAGTCACCAACTGGTGGGCCGTGAGAAAATTTTGGTGGGCTCACCCCCAGAGCACCCCTCCAAAGCAATTAATCCAGGCTGCAGAGAAACACAAGGCTGCGTGGCCCACATGGCCCATGGGAACCCTCCCCGCCCACTCACTCCTTACCCCCGTAAACTTGCCTGCTAAATTGCTATTTTTTCCTTTTTCTGACCATCATCTATCCGTTCTGCTGTGCCAGGAGATTTAGATTAGCTAGGAAGCAGGAAATGGTTGGATTTCTTGCTTTCTAGCTAGTCTTTAGACCTTTGGCTCAGCACAGCTGAACCTCCCTTAGGACTGAAGGTTTGCTTGCAAGCAAATTCAGTGCAGACCCACGGCAAGCAAATTTGAGAGACTGAGCTAGCTGATGGCAGATAGATAGACCACTGAATGATTCTGTGAGCAACTCAATCTGCCTGCTTTGCCTGATTTTGGGTAAAAGTTTCTCTTTTTTTAAATAAAAAATTCAATATTTACATACATGGTGTGTTGTGAGTTAATTTTGTGAGCTTGCTTGCAAGCAAATTTTATGTGACAGACTGAGCTAGCCAATGACGGATAGCTAGATCTCTGAATGAATCTGTGATTCTGTGAGCAACTCAATCTGCCTGCTTTGCCTGATTTTGGGTGAAAGTTGCTCTTTTTTTAAATAAACAATTCAATATTTATATAAATATATTTACATACAAGCCATGCCCAGCCAGTCATATGACCACCAAGCCACACCCACAAAACCGGTTAGTGGTCCCTGGGATCTAAAATTATGAGTTTGGTGGTCCCGGAGGTCCAAAAGGTTGGCGACCCCTGGCCTAGTCCAACCCCCCCCCCCCCACCTCCCCAAGCAGGAGACCCTACACCCATTTCTGACAGAGGGCAGTCTGGTCTTTTCTTGAAAGCCTCCAGGGATGAAGCTCCCACAACTTCCGAGGGCAACTTCTGTTCCCTGGGTTGATTGCTCTCCCTGTCAGAAAGTTTCTCCTTATTTCCAGGTTGGATCTCTCCTTCCTCCTCCTATTTTCCCCACAAACACCCTGTGAGGCGGGCTGGGCAGAGAGCGCGCCTGGCCCAAAGTCCTGCAGTCAGGTGGTTTTTTGGGTGGTGTTTTGTTTGCCAAAGGAAAGGAGGGGAAAAGGAGGCCTGCGAGGGGCCTGCATAAGGGCACCATCGTGCCTACTGCCCCCCCCCGTCCCATCGTCCCCGTGGATTCGTACCTCTTTCCTGTATTCTTCTTCCTCGTGTTATTCTTATACCTATCATCTTGTAAGCGATGGACAAATCGAAGCAAGCAAAAAAGGGCAGAGGCTGCTGCCAGGGGCCCCGAGGGGAGGGAGCCTCCCTTCCAACTTGGCGGGGGTCCTGGCGCGGGTCCCTCCCGTCCCTTCCCAGACGGCGCTCCTAAAGGCAGGCCAGCCTCTACCCGACCCCGCGCCCCCACCGGCAGCCAGCGCTTCCCCACGAGGCTGAGCGCCGGAGCCTCCCCGAGGAAAGAGGCGGCAATGGGGCGGCCGCCCGAAAGGGGCGGGAAGCGATGCCGGCTGGGGCCCCCTCTCCTTATGCGGAGCCCGGCCTACGAGCCCCCGTTCCGCCTCGGACCCCGCTTTCCAGAAGGGGAGGCGATGAGCGGAGCCCCCTCCACGGGCAGCTCCCTCCCCCCTCACCTCGGGCTCCGCTCAGCCGCCGCCGGGCTGGGAAGCTGCGCTCGGCGCACATGGCCCCGCCCGCCGGGGACTACCGCCCCCACAATGCCCCGCGGCGAGAGCCGCCTCCTTCCGCCGTAGCCTGAGCTCCACGCCGGAAACAGAGCGGCCCTTCCGCTGGCGGGGGGCGGGGCCGGGTTTTTTTTTTTTTACGTGCTTTGGGGGCCGGAGCGCCGCGACCCTCGCCGGGGAGGTCGGTGAGCGAGTCCGTCCGTCCGTGGCGCCCCCGACGGGCCCAGACCGCGGGAGGGGGGGGGGGAGGCAGCCGCGGAGGCGCCAGGAACGGCCCGGGCGGGCGGGCGGGCGGTGCAGCCGCTGAGCTGCCCAGGCGGGGCTCGGGGCTGGCTTGGCCAGCCGGGCTCGAAGCGGGCAACTTGCTCGCGGGAGGCCGAGGGGAGAGCCGGGGCCCTGCTTCGATCCGGAGCGTTGGCTGCCCTGAACGAAGCGACGGCGGCAGAGCCGGTGCAGCCCTGGAGGGGGACGAGAGCGGCCCGGGGGCTCCTGCAGCCCCGAGGAGCCTCTTCAGAGGCCGGCGGCCGTGGCGGCCCCGCGTGCCCGAAGGGGCTGGGCAGACTCTGCGGGGCCCCTTTCCGGGGCTGCTCCCCGCTTTTGGCCCAGCCGCGCTGCCTTCCCAGGGGGACCGGTTTGCAGCCGGCTCTCCTTCGCAGGGCGGGCCTGCGCTGGCCGGGGCGTTCTGGCGGCCGGTCTGCCCGCAAAGGAGCGGAGCCCCTCGACGGAGGCCGGGTGGCGGGGGAGAAAAGGTTGCGTCGTGAAAGCGAGAGCGGCGGAGAACGGCGCCCGTTTCGCTTCCCCTTTACCCGCACGCAACACATCGCAAGCGGCCCACCGAGCCAGGCAGGAGGCTGTTGGGGCGGGGGGAGGCACCAGAGGCTAGAAATGGGGGCCCTTGGGCACGAAAAGCCTGCTGGGGGGGACAGGACTTTGGGCCGGGCCCTCTCAGCCCAACCCGCCTCCCTGGGTGGCTGCGGGGGGAAATAGGCATGGTAGGAGCATCGCGTATATTCACCAGCCGATGGAGTCTCAGGCTTCCTTCCTTTCTTGGATTTTGAATGGAGCCGCACCTGGCACCACCTGTGTAATAATAGGAAACCCGGCTGAGCAGAATGCCCCCCCCCCTCAGCCAGAGAGAGTCAGCTGGCAGGGATCACAAGAGGAGGAGCATGTTCCCCATGGAGCACAGAAGTAGAATCCTTTATTGGCCAAGCGGGGTTGGACACACAAGGAATTTGTCTTGGTGCAAAGGCTCTCAGTAAATAATCATAAAAGAAAAGAGACATTCGTCAAGAACCACAAGGTGCAACACTTAGTAGGATATAATAAGCCATCAAATCATACTAGGAAACAGTCCTCCCTTCAGAGAATAAAATGGCCGTTGGCCTTTCATGAGGCCCTAAAAACCTGGCTTTGCTCCTTGTCCTGGGATGCTGAATATGTTAAGGGGCCTGTTTCTTGGAATGAAAGGAAGAAAAAAAATGAATGAGAAACCTAAACCTAATTAAAACAGTAGCTCACTGAAGAATACTGTAGCTTGATTAATGAAAAGGTGACAGAATAAAAATTATGAGGCATGTTATATCCAAAATGCTCTTCCCTTTTCTTATTGTTACAGCAACATCTCGCGAGCTATTTTGTATTTTCTACTCTGAAAATATTGTAGAAATAATACTAATAAACTATTTACAAGCAGCAATAAAAATGAGATCAATAAACCAATCTTTCATGCTATCAATACAATTATTTCAGCTCAAAACGCTTTTACAGCAGGCACTAGTGAAGTACATATCACTCCACGTTAGTATTACTCCACTAATTGTTGAATAATGATGTCTGAATGCTTTATCTAGACTGAAAAATAAGATTTATTGTAATGATTAATTACCATTAGCATTTGGGAAGAACAGCATGACTATTTCTAAAATGTTGAGAATGGCGAAACAAGGTAGATTCATAACATCAATTTATCTTAATAAATAACCAGCATCCTAACACATAACAGATCTGTAGTAATTATTTTTTTAAAACTGCAAAATACCTTTAATTTGTATGGTCATACCTTTCAGTATGGTCAAAAGATACAACAGTATTGTTGGTCTGAATTTAATTATTTTCAGGTTCTAGTTTATGAAACCATCTTATTTCATTTCAAGGGGAAAGTTTTGTTTGCTTTTTTTTTGTTTAAAAACTATATTTTATATACAGTCCAAGGAACTGAAGGACCACCTAGAGGTATTCAGTTCCCCACTATATACATGTATCACAATCCTACAAGGTTAGTTGTGGCTCTTCCACACATTTTCTTAACTAGAGCACCACACTGGTTCTCATATAAATTGATAATGTTTTAATGCACAGAATTGGGTAGTTGTTTCAGTAGTAGCTTTTTTTCAAATTAGAGAAAGAACTCCTGATGAAGTTGGAGACATATTGTATTGCATAAAAGCAGGTACCCGTATGCCATGTTTGAGCATGCGTAGAGTGGATTGTAGGTGTCTGTACTTTTTTTTGTCTATCTCGGAAGGGTTACATTGAGAAAATCTCAACTATTTTCCCTTGATAAAGCGATCTTCTCTCCATAGGAGTTTCCTTGATGCTGTCTTAGTTAACAATGGCAAAGCCACCAAGTAAAGATCCTGGGCTAAAGGAGAAGTTTAAGAGCCTGCTAGGACTGTCGTCATCCAGGCCCAACTCTAAGTCATCTGAAGGAAAGCAGACAGAATTCATCATCACTGCAGAAATACTCAAGGTAACATTAAGAAATATTCCAAACCTTGAATTTACATTAAGAGCTGAAAATTTTAGTAGATTAATTTAAGAAAACTAATACAGATTTTAATTTTGAGGATTTTAAAAAATCCTTCAAATTGCCTCAAGATTTGGGTTCCCCAAAGATTTGTGAGCAAAATAAATCCTCAATAGATTTTGGTTTAGCGACATGAGTTAGTGATATCGTCTTTGAATGTAAGACAATATCTATGTACTATATGCTGTAAGCATTAAATTCTGATAGCCATTTTATGTATATATAAAACATAATATAATGTGTAATATGTTTAAATCCCCTTTATATTTAAAGGATATTCTACTTTAAAAGGTAACCTTTCTCCCAATTACTGTGCAGCTGAGGGGATACAATAACACCATCCTGATGGCACTGCTTTATTAACTAAGCAGAGTTAACTAGCTTTGAGTTATGAAGTGAGCTTTTTAAACTCCAAAGCCTTGAGCCTTTGGAACCTCTTGCCCCATGAGGTAAGATTGGCTCCCACCATCCTGAATTTCCCTAAGAGCCTGAAGACCTGGCTCTGCAGTTGGCTTGGGGTCCCAATTCCCCACCTACCCTCCTGTATATTCTTCCTCCCTCCCCATCTGAGCAAGGAAGGCCAGGTTTCCCTGTGCATAAGAATATTTCACCAGGAAGTGCTAGTCTTGGTTCCTTCGCTGCTTGATGTGGTCAGACATGTAGAGCCACCATCCTGTCTGTGAACCCGCTGCTGCTGCTTGTTCAGATCTAAGCCTATGCTTGTCTTTCAGGAACTGAGCATAGAATGTGGCTTAAACAACCGGATAAAAACAATCGGACAAATCTGTGAGGTGGCAAAAACTAAAAAGTTTGAAGAGGTGCGTATGCAGGGCTTCCTGTTTGGATAAATAAATGCATATATATAAGCATCCACTGCTGCTGAACTGCACATCCTACATGGCTTAGCATTTATAGATGGCTTGGGATGAATGGAAGGTGAAGCCCTGGGTTGCTAAGCAAGAACATTTCTGTTTCTCTTCCCAAGTAGAAAAGGGGATAGAACAAATTCTGAGTTTAAATAAATAACAGGAAGGCAAAATTGGCTCATGACTTTCTTTTGAAAGTAGACATTTTTATTCATTTCTGCTCAACTTGACCTGCCTTTGGGTAGTTATATGGCGTTGGAAGAGAATGTCACAAAGAAGATGTTAATATGAGAATAGACATAATCTGAAATTCTACAGTGTTTGGTCCCTATCTTACCATAGTCTGGTGAGGGAGCATCCATTTACTTTGAAGCAGAATGGAAAGTGTTAAAAAAGACACGGATGTTTTTGTTAGGATTAGAACAGGACAGAGAAAAATAATTAAATCAGAATCTAACCCTGTGATATTAAGATATAAATGTCACAGTTACCTAATAGGCAAGTGTTTACATTTAGTAGACACAATTGATGCAATTTTATCTGAATAAACCAAAGGATCAAAGTCTCTCTCAATGTTTCTGTGCTCCTATAGCATGCAGTGGAAGCTATTTGGAAAGCGGTAGCTGATATGCTGCAGCCAGATCGGCCACCTGAGGCCCGGCACGCTGTCCTCCATCTGTTGCAGGCAATTATTCTGGGACAGGTAAGTTGCATTACCAAGCAACTGTACTAGAAGGAAGCACCAGTTTTAAAAATTTATACGTGTTACTTAAGCCAATTCTTTTATCCTTAAGGGTGAAAGGCTGGGGATTCTCCGAGCTCATTTTTTTAGAGTGATTAAAGATTATCCATCTAATGAAGACCTACATGAGCGGCTGGAGGTATTCAAGGCGCTGACTGATAATGGAAAACACATAACGTATTTGGAAGAGG